AGCATCATCATGAGCAGCATCATCATCATCATCATCAGCATCATCATCATCATCAACATCAACATCATCATCGCCAGCATCATCATCATCATCAACCCGAGCGACCATCATCATCATCTGCAGCATCGGCATCAGCATCAGCATCATCATCAGCAGCATCATCAGTATCATCGTCATCATCATCAAACTCACCATCACCATCATCATCGCCATCAACATCAGCATCATCATCATCATCATCATCGGCATCATCATCATCAGCAACATCATCAGCATCGTCATCATCATCATCAACTTCATCATCAGCATCATCATCGTCATCATCGTCATCATCATCATTATCATCATCCGCCTGTTCCTCCTCCCCCTCCGCCTGATCCTCCGCATCCTCGTCCTCCTCCGCCTTATCCTCTGCATCCTCCTCCTCCTCCTCGTCCTCCCCACTACCCCAGGGTGCCCATTGGGCCGCAAGTGAACGGGTCGGGCCGCGCCGTGGAGCGAGGCGCCTCGACCTGGTACTGCTGAGGGGTTCCGCGCCTGCGGCGGACGGGGGGCACGGCGAGGATCCGACTCACAACTTCCTCCAGTTCCTTCTTCCTCTTCCTCCTCCTCCTCCTCCTCCTCCTCCTAGTACTACTCTTTCTCCTTCTCTTCCTCCTCCTCATCGTTCTCCTCCTCTTCCTCCTCATCCTTCTCCTCCTCCTCCTCATGTTGTTCCTCTTCCTCCTCCTCATCCTCCTCCTCCTCCTCCTCCTGCTCCTCCTCCTCCTCCTCCTGCTCCTCCTCCTCCTCCTCTGGCTCCTCCTCCTCCTCTCTCCTCCTCCCCTGGCTCTTCCTCCTCCTCCTCCTCCTCCTCCTCCTCTTCCTCCTCCTGCTCCTCCCCACCATCATCATCAGCATCAGCATCATCAGTATCAGCCTCATCATCACCATCTGTAGCACCATCCTCATCATCACCAGCATCATCAACATCAGCACCACCACCACCACAATCATCAGAATCATCAATATCATCAGCATCCACATCATTAAGATCAGCAGCAGCAGCAGCAGCGACATCAGCATCAGCATCAGCATCCCCATCAACATCATCATCTTCAGAAACGTCACCATCTTCATATGAGCACCCTGATCGTTAGCATCATCATCAGCAGCACCCTCACCAGTATCAGTATCATCATCAACAGCATCGTCAGCATCCTCATATCATCAGAATCATCACCAGCAGCATCGGCATCACCACCACCAGTAGCAACATCACCATCGCCACCATCAGCCTCAGCATCATCAAATTCATCATCAGCATCAGCAGCATCAGCATCAGCATCAGCAGCACCATCATCATCAGCAGCACCACCGCCATCCTCATCATCATCATCATCATCATCATCATCATCAGCATCATCATCCTTATCAGCAGCAGCACCATCGTCAACATCATCATCATCATCATCATCATCATCATCATCATCATCATCATCATCATCATCATCACCCGCCCCGTCCTTTGACGCAATCCTCGCGAATTCGATTACTGGAGTAGCGTCCTCGTCCTTCTCCTCCGCACCCTCCTCATGCCCCAGAGAAGTGAGACGAGCCCGCGAACAGCTAGAACGCACTGAAGAGCGGGAACGCGCAGTGGTGATCGAACTAGCGGAAGTGGAGATCGACAAGAAGCTGACCGACAAGGCGGTTGCTCGAGAATGTGAAGGAATAGCTGAGGTCGAAGAACCAATCTCGCGCCGAGTGGGCGATAACTTGGGGCGCAGAGCTGTTCAGCAACCTCGAGAATGTCGACTGTGACGAGACCGAAGATTAGCACTTCTCGCCATGGGGCGCGAGTGGAGAAGGCGCACCCAGGTGAACGAATGGAATGCTAAGTATTCCAAGACGCAGAGGAGTCTCACCGAGAGGGTCGCCAATGAGCCCCGGGCCCCCCTGGAGCAGCCAGCGGCAAGTGGCCCAGCGGCCGCCCAGCCTTCGAGCGCCGCGGGAATCAACGGTCAGCCAGCCCCAGGCTCGGGCGCTGCAGCAGGCCCGACCAAGGAGGTCATCGAGAAGGAAACCGACAGGTTGTCAGCGGCCACATCGATCATCCAGTTCCAGAGGCTGACGCAGCGGGAGACAGGCAGTGACAGGTCGAGTCTGGCGACCTGCTAAGTGACAACAGAAGCCCGACACACCGACAGGCGACTTCGTCATCTGAGGGCCACGCGGTCGCAGGACTGCCGCATCAGGGAGACGGCGCGCGCTCGCCCGCCACCCAGCCTTCAGAAGCTCTCTGCGCAGACAATCAGGAGTGCACGCGCAGTCTTCGCAGTGGCGCCACTTGCCTCGGACCTCTCGCATGGGACCTGATCAACTCCAAGCCTACTCGAGCCAAGCGCGGCTCGCGCCCTCGCTGGAAGCCACGCGCCAACGGGGCGTCAAGCTCACTGGGCGCCTCGAGCGCGCAAGGTGGAACTGACGCCAGTTTCAACGCACCGCGATCGCAGGAGGAGAGCAGCAGCCGCGCGGCCGAAGGCGATAAGTTGACTTTCGGACAGGGACACCTGCACATTCCAAAGATAGGAGGGCCCAGAGCTGTTCCAACCTTTATGTGGGAATAATGGGACATCGCTCGGCGGGGCCCTCCCGGCAACGACCAATGTGCGCGGCCATTAGGTCGACCTCGTTGTCTTCCACCGCCTATATTCCCAAGGACTCGCAAGACGGCATGCCCAGCGATACGATCGTCTCGGAAATTGCCTTTCTCCTTCGCAACTTCCCTGGCAAGCAAGTCGAGAGTTGGAGCGCTTCGCCTTCGCGTGCAGCACAGAGCGGCACCATTGACAGAGTGCGCGGCGTTGTCTTCCAGACTCGCGTCGGGCGCACTTGCCACGCGGGCGCGGGTCAGAGTCGCGCCGCGCCGACTATGCACTCTGAGTCGAGCAGCGCGCCCGCGCACATGTCAGCTACGGCCCGTCGCCGACGCCCCACAGGGCACGCACTGCTGGATCAGCTTGTCTTTCAGGAACGCAGAGGAACAATTGATGGCTATTTCCACGCGCGCGGCAAACGAGCTACCGTCAGCCCCACGCCCGCGCGCTCTTCCCCAGACCAGTCGCAAGTCTCAGGGGGCTGCAAAGGCGAGGCAGGAAACTCGCATAAAATTTCAGCAGAAATTTTCGGACGCTGGCGGCGCGCATTTACGGGGTCGTCTCGGCTGGGGGCGAGGGCGCCGACGCATCCGAGGGGCAAGACTCTGGCAGCGCCCCAGATCTAGAGGACCCACGAGACGCTTTCCATTCTGCTGAACACGAGGAGCAGGACGATGAGCCTGATCCCTGGGCAAATCAATCTGATTTGTTCGTGGGGCCGTTCCGGCCAGCTCTCTCGCCCAGTAGAAACGCGCCCGCGCCCCTGACCTCAATTCTGACTCAGTGGCCCCTGGGGAAGCTTGCTCGGCAGGCAACCCTCCGCCCCTTCAACCCCTCGCATTGCATCCCTGACGAACTCCGGCAAAAACAGCGGCCCCCGGTCGGATTTCAAGCTAGAAAGGCGGAGGATGTTTGTCCAGTCGCAAAGTCATCTCAAGCGCACCGCAATGAGGGGTCTCGGATTCAGGCTGTTAGCGGGACGTTTGCCACTGGGGCAAGATCTGCTGAAGCGACCACTCTTCGCCATCATGACTCTCGCCCTGCAGGCCGCAGTCACGCAGCAGGCCCGAATGTCTCGATGGGGGCGGCGTGGGAGGCTGAACGTTTGAGATCGCAGCCCCTCGACGACGTGCTCGTAGGCTGGCGGGCGCACGTGCGCGTCATACTTCGTCGACTGCATGGGCATCGGTCTCGGGGTTGCGGAGTAGAACAGGCCCCTCAGTCGGGCGACGTTCGGCGCGTTCTGGTTAACGATTTCCCCGGGAGTGCCCGCGCTGTTGTTCCCGTCGCTGCGGAGCCCTCTCCTCGGGCGCAATGCTTTCTGTTTGGGGGCAGTTGGAAGAAGATGGCGTTCACCATTTGGGTATTCCAGGTGCCGAGGCGGCTCGCCGCGCCAGACATAGAGCTGGCATTAGGGTCTTCAAACCGTTGTCTTCAAGCGAAGCAGTTCCCTCAGTGGAAATGAACCCTTGCAGGGGCCAATGAAGAGGGAGCTTGGATGGAGGGTTGATTCCAACATCGTTGATGACTCTTGGGTTTGCACTGGTCCTCCTCCTCCTCCTCCTCCTCCTCCTCCTCCTCCTCCTCCTCCTCCCCCTCCTCCTTCTCCTCCTCCCCCGCCTCCGCCTCCCCCTCCCCCTCCCCCTCCTTCTCCTCCTTCTTCTCCTTCTCCTCCTTCTCCTCCTCCCTCCTCCTCCTCCTCCTCCTCCTGCTCCTCCTCCTCCGCCTCCTCCTCCTGCTCCTCCTCCTCTTCTTCTGATTATTGTTTGCATCACCCGTATTATTCTTAAAAGTATTCCTCTTATACTTATTCTTATTATTAGTAGTATTATGGTTCGTCTTCTTCTTCTTCTTCTTCCTTCTCCACCTCCTCCTCCTCCGCCTCCGCCCGCCTCCGCCTCCGCCTCCTCCCCTCCTCCGCCTCCGCCTTCTCCTCCTCCGCCTCCGCCTCCGCCTCCGCCTCCGCCTCCGCCTCCCTCCTCCTCCTCTCCGCCTCCGCCCCCTCCTCCTCCTCCTCCTACTCCCTCCTCCTCCTCCTCCTCCTCCTCCTCCTCCGCCTCCTCCTCCTCCTCCTCCTCCTCCTCCTCCTCCGCCTCCTCCTCCTCCTCTCCTCCTCCTCCTCCTCCTCCTCCTCCTCCTCCTTGCTCTCTCCTCCTCCTCCTCCTCCTCCTCCTCCTCCTCCTCATCCTCCTCCTCCTCCTCCTCCTCTCCTCCTCCTCCTCCTCCTCCTCCTCCTCCCCCCACCTCCCCCTCCCCCGCCTCCCCCTCCGCCTCCTCCTCCTCCTCCTCCCCCTCCCCCTCCCCCTCCCCCTCCCCCCCCTCCGCCTCCGCCTCCTCCTCCTCCTCCTCCTCCTCCTCCTCCTCCTCCTCCTCCTCCTCCTCCTCCTCCTCCTCCTCCTCCTCCTCCTCCTCCTCCTCCTCCTCCTCCTCCCCCCAGCCGTCGTCTTCGGCGCCGTCCTCGGACCTACTGGCGGCCCCAGCCGTGGCCCACGAGCCCACGAGGACGCCCCAGGAGGCCGAGAGACATGCCCCAGAGCCTAGACCTGCGAGACTCGATCGGCGGTTTCTCGAAAACTGAGGGCGCCCCCCCCTCCCCCCCCCCCCCCCCGACCCGCCCGCCCAGACCCGCCGCACGCCCAGTCGCCCGACTGCCCGCCCTGAGATCCTGGTGTTGCATTCTTTTCACCACGGGCGTTTTCGCTCAATTTTGGGTCCCCGCGGGACCATCACAAATCGATCCGGCTCGAAAAATGGCGCGGAAAGATGGGGTCCGGGGGTTCCGGTCGTGACTGTTTGCGATGTTGAATTTTTGTTGACAACGTCGGATCTCAGGGCGCCCGCCGCTTCGATGTCCCGCCCGCTCGACCCGCCAGCGAGGGCAAGCCCGCGAGCCCGTTCGGGCCCGCCCGCCCGACCCGCCCGTCCAGGCCCTCCCGCTCGCCTGCTTCACGGCCCTCCCTCCCGAGAGGCGGGGGCTTATTCGCCATTGGGGGAAAACGGACGGGTCCTGAGGAAGACGGGTCCTGGGCTCTTAGCCGTTTTCGGGCTCTCGAGGCCCCCCACGGGCCCCGAGGCTGTCAGAAAACAACTTCGGAGGAAGATCTCGTCCCGGGGAAAAGCCTCAGGGTCCAGGACCCCATCCAGTGGAGGCCAGTCCACAAGAGACCTTCCACGAGAAACCCAACCCTGAGACCCCGGGACGCCCATCTGATTTCTGGTGTGGGAGCGTCACGCTTCCCATCGAGAGAACCTCGAAACCCGCGAGAAGCCCAGGGCACCCTGGAGGCGAGCAGGGTGCTTCCTGGCATGGGCCCCCGGTGCACCCTCGGGTTATGATGTTCCAACCGACTTTAGCCTTGATCACCAGAAAGAATTTCGAGCACCAGAAAACACCCCAAAAACTCGAAGGTCTTCACGTGTCGGGCCCTGGGAGACACTCTTGTTACACTCTCTCGACACTGTTTCGACACTCTGTCCACACTCCTTCGACACTTTTCTGGGTGCTCGAAATTATTTCTGGGATGCGGTCCTTAATACGGGGGAAAACAAACCTACCTCGCTTTTGACCACCCTCGCTTCCAAGAGATACCAAACGATGCCAAACTACGGCCTGTACTGGTCAGGCCGCTTGACGAGGAGGCGCGTGGTAGGACTTGGTTTTGCCTGGAAGCGAAAGCGGGGTAGGCAATTCACGCTCTGACTTAAGTAGGGTGGGAGCCACATAACCCCTCGGGACCCGGTGTCACCCGTGCGGAATCGACACCGCCGCCTCCGCCTGGGGGCGCGGCCCTCCGCGAGCCTCGGCGGGCGGCGGCTGTGGCCACCCGCGCGCGGGCCGCGCGGGGGGGCGAGGCCGAAGGCACGGCCGCACCCGCCGCGCCGCCCGCCGACGCCCCCCGGAGGCAGACCCCCCCCAGGCGACGGCGATGGAGAAGCCCGCGCCGCGCACGTCGTTGGAGGCCTGGAAATTGGCACCGACACCAACACAGGGGGTTGCCTCCACAGGGGGAAGATGATCCTAGATTTCGGTGTCGGTGGCAATCTTTCGGCCATCGAGGAAGCCCGAATATTACCACCACCACCGAGATCGCGATCATCGTCCCTCTGTGGAGTCACACCGCCGATATTGGTGTTGGTGTCAACCTCTAGGCCTCCGACGTCGTGCGGGGGCACTGAAAACAGCATCGGGTCGGGCGTGTCCCCTTACAGGCGGATGCTGGACGACAGATCCAGAAGAGTCACCAGAGGCGCCAAACATGTCACAAGAAAACGGTCCACAGATCGCCCCCTGACTATTTGTTTGAACTGTTTTTGGATAGACTCCTCCTGTGGAGCGACAGGCCCGCCTGAAGGATAAACCTCCGCCTCGTACGTCGTGCGGCGACACTGAAATGTCGGCTGCTCGCAAGAGTGACCCTCGGTAAGAGTGACCTTTGGTGCGCGGCTTTTGGGGGGCCGCCGGGGGGCCAAACGCACGTGCGCAAGACGCCACTACCGCATCGCGTTCGGCGATCGGGGGACCCCACTGGGCCCGCACCAGAGGTCACTCCGGCGAAAAGGTCACTCTTACGTGTAGTCGGAAATGGCGGTACGGCCACTTCCCCGGCCTCTGCAGGCCCGCGTTCTGACCAAGGCCTCGAGGCGGAGCCAGCCGTGGCGACGAGGGACCGGAAGCGGTTCCCGTACACGTCGTTCATTTCTAGCCGTGCTCGTTTCTAAGTGTGCTCGTTTCTAACCGTTCCGAGCTCCCCATGAAGGGGAACTGGGACACACAAATAAATGCACACAAATAAAAGCAAACCCCCTATGTTCTCATATTTTCTGGGTTCTTGTCTTCTCCCCCACTTCCCATATTTTTCCATATTTTCTGGGAATCGCCGATTAATTGTGTCTGTGTGTATTTTCCACTCCTGACCCTAGTGGCCAGGAAGAGGCCCAGGATGAAACCATTAGAAATGGAAGGACCTTGCCCCCCCCAAAAAAAATCAAAGAACTCTCGAAGAATTAGAAATGAACAACGTGTATCTCTTCCTCCTCTGTTCTCAGGGCCCGCCGGCCCGCCTGCTCGGAGGCCCTCCCTCCCAGGTCGCGACTCCCCAAACATTCGAGGCCTTCGTTTCTCAAAGACGGGGTCCCCAGAAGTTCAAAACAGGGTCACTGTTTCATCCCGCGAGTGGCTTTTCGCAGTCCCAGGGCCTGGCGAGGAGCCCTGTAGTCCGAAAACTGCCAAAAACCGTCGTCGTGACTTCTGTTCACGACGTGAGCATGTCTGGGTCGCGCGTGCCAACTCGTCCCGTGCCAAGAAGGGGAGGCGTTGGAGTACCATGCGGGACCTGCTTTAGACCAGGACCACACGTTCGACGGATCTACCCTTCTTCCGACCTTGCACTGCGCCGAACGCAACGGCCGCATTGTCTCTAGACGCATCCACCCCGGATGCGTCTGCATACGCAACGACACCCAATGTGTCTATAGACGATTGAGGCTGGAAAGTGTGAAAGGTATTTGGCATACTACAGTCGGCCCCTATCACAAGGATGCGCGATAAGGATGCAAGGGCCTTGGACGCCCACTTCAACGCTTCTCGAGCAGGGCACGGCCAGCGAAAGCGGCCAAGGATGGACCGAGGAGGCAAGGATGTAAAGGGCACCCTTGGAAAGGGTTCCCATCATTACAATGCGAGTTGACTGTAGCTCATATATGCCCCAGATCTTGGCCTCCCAGGAGGCCCCAGAATCGAATCGATAAGTCGGATCGGCGATCGAAATGCATCGGATCGACGAAAATCGGCAGCCGAGTCGGGAAAAGTCGAATCGGCGGAGATCGGGAGGCTAGTATGCCTCCAATGAGAAATCGGAGCCCAAATCGGAATCCCAGATCGGACGGAACCGGAATCGGAAACCATCGACGTCGAATCGCATCGAATCGGAGGAATCGAAACGAGCCCTGCCTCCCGGAAGCAAGCGCAGACTCCGCCCTCCCGGGGAGGGGGCCGCGGCCGCCGCCCCGGCCGCGCCTGAGGAGCGCCCGCCCCGCCTCCTCGAGCGAGGAGCCGGGCCCGCCGACGCCGGCCAGGGACAGGAGCTCGACCTCGGACGGGGCGCACCGAGACACGCTGGCACGGCCTGCCCTCCTCGGAGGCGCGCGTCCGACCCGAGCAGATAGTGCACCCACCTCGCAGCACGTCGCATCACCCACAGCTTGTAGTAGATCGTATCTAGCGCACCCAGTTTGCAGGCCACCCCAAGATTTGATCAAACTTACACAGCACAGGTTGCAAACCTGCTGGTTGTGTGTTTGATTCGGTCACCTGGTACTGCACTCATCTCCGATCCACCCCCCACCCAGAACGGGCGCAAGAGCTTTCGGATGAGGTCGACATACGGTGCAGACATTTGGCAGCATGTGATGAAAATGTTGGAAAGCCGATGGTTTTCTTCAGAATCCGCAAGAACGCAAGCACAGGATTTGTTTGACAACTGATGTTGCAAAACCATGTGCTCTGATATGTGTTTGAAACATTCGTTTTTGCTATCCGTACGAAACTTCGTCCCATCTGTTACAAGGGATTATTGCGACAGCACGCACGCAAGGGCGTTGAGCGAGTTCGACATGCGCGCTCAAGAGGCCCGTTTGGTAGAATTGTATGAAAATGTTGAACAACCGATGGTGTTCTTCAGGCTTCGCAAGAGCGCGGGCGCAGGCTTTGTTTGAACACCTTTGTTGCGAAGCCGTGCTGTTTATATGTATTCGTGACACTCGATTTGAAATCCTTACGAATCCAAAGGTGCCTCAAGGATTGCGGCGTGCGCGCACAACGACGCGCGCGCGCGTGTGCACTTCGTCCTATATGTTGCTAAGGATGTTTGGAAACTAGTTTTTCTGTGATCAACGAATGCGCGCGCCTAGTATTTTTTGACAGAAAAGGAAGGGTGAACCGATACCGGCTTGCCTGGGATGGTTTGAATTCAGATGTAGGACAGACGGTGGGGCAAAATATATCACACGTAAACTGCAACACGAAAAGGTAGCCCGTTAACCCCGGGGAGGGTAGATCCTCATACTTTTTTAGGAAGGAGAAGTATGTTGTGCGATCTGCGTGGTGCAATATAGCGGTGCCATCTACTCTGGGTTTCTTAATAAGCGTGGGGCGGTACCCCCCCGACGGGGGTCAACCTCGCCTAGTCGTCGCGCTGCGACGGGGGTCGGAGTGCCTTGGGAGCGCGGTGGCTGCCCGCGACGGGGGTCGATGTGGGGCTGTCGGCGGGGGTGACGCCCCCCCGAAGCTTATTAATGAACTCGGAGAGTGTTGTGCGATCTATGCGTTGCGAACTATGGTGTGCAACCTCTGTTGTGCCATCGATGTGGTCCACATACAGTATTCGGCCTGACCTAGGGAGCGATCAATGAGGAACGAAGCCCCTTGTTCTCTAAGTAAGCCTGCGAAGTCCGACAGAACAGCCGAGCCCCTTTCTGACGGCGCTCCGCCACGATTTGCTTCTGCGATCCGACCCCCGCCCCTCTTCTGCCACACTGCCAACGCCAGAGGGGGCTCGCTGCCAAAACGGTGGCGGAGCGCAGGCCCCCTTTTGAAAAGTAAGCGTCCCTTATTCAAGCTGGACCCTGTATGTAGAGGCCTCCTAGATGGGGTCGGAGCACATGGGGTCGGATGATCGCACCGCATCGCCGATGCATCGGCGATGCACGGGCGATGCACCGGCGATGCATCGCCGACGTGGACGATGCACCGACAACATCGACGTGAAGCAAATCGGGCTCCACGTCGAGCCGCATCGGCGATGCATCGGCGATGCGGCGCGATCCTCGGAGTTTGGTCCCCGGGGGGGCCGAAAATGTCCACATCCACCGCCTGCCGAGGTCCTCGAAAGCTGATCCTCCAGGCGGTGGTCATGTATGAATTCCCGCCTCGGACACACAGCCGCCAGAGCGGCAGACAGGCCCAGTTCCTTGAAAAAGGCACAAAAGCCCATAAAGCCCCTACGTGCCAGCACTGTTCGGGGAATGTTGTATGGTAGATTCCCAGCTGGCTCGAGCTAGGCTCCAACACGCCGAGGGACGCTTAAGAACAACCAAGATGGCCTCAAGACTGTCCAAGTGGCCTCCAAGGCGCCCGCGGACGAAAATCGGATCCACCGAAACAAACACCAAAACCACACTTGGATCTGGACAAGCCATCGTTCGGGGCCTAAAAGGAAAAAACATCGGCCTGGGGATGTAGGGTACGCGACGCATAGCATATGGCATAGCACGGCGTAGTCAAGCATTGCATGTCATAGCATTGCGGCGCAAGGCATGGCATCGCGTAGCGGCACATAACACAGCATTGCAAGCCGTGCCATTGCATGGACTTGCACTTAGTATCCTGGCGTTGCATACCGTAGCATCGCAGAATAAGGTTTGGAATCACAGAATAGCGGCACACACCATACCATTGAATTGCATAACATGGCTGCATGAACGGCGCAGCCGGAAATTCATGCTGGAGGACCCACAATTTGGAGATGAGGCAGGTGCTGCAGCGGGAGCACCATTCAGGAAAAAAAAAAAAAGAAAAATGCGGAAATAACACCAGCGCTGCAGCGGGAGCACGATCCTGAAGTTCGAAATCCTGCTTGTCAAAACAATACGCGGAGAGGGCGGAACATCTTCCAGACATTCATAATGCGTCAGTGTAAAGAAAAGGAGAGGGAGGGGGAAAGAGGCGGACGTCTTCGGAGGGGGAAGAAGAGGAGAGAGGAGAGAAGGAGAGGAGGAGAAGAAAAAGAGAAAGAGAAAGAGGAGGAGTAGGAGGAGGAGGAGGAGAAAAGGCGAAGGACGCGGAGGACAGGGGAGGAAGCAGTGGAGGGGGAGGAGGCGTGGAAGGGCGTGAGGGAGGCTCTCGGAGGATCAGGGAAACGGAGGAAAAGAGGATGCGGAGGAGAAGGGAAGGAGGACAAGGCTCTCGCACGAGGCGACCGAGTCCTCCTCATCCGATAACTTCAGTCGCCATCTTGCGGAGGCAGCCGCCACCGCCCCAAACGCGGTATAGCTCACAAGAACGAGGGCAGAGCCCGGCGCCACCACCCTGCGGCGGCTGCGGCGAGAAGGCCGCGTCGGAGGAGGCGCAAACGTCACAGCCCCGCGGCCACCACCTGCCCAAACATGCGATGCCCTGACTTGTTCCATACGGCTCCCCCGAGGTCCCCGACCCTTTCCTGGGGCCGGCTTCTCATCCCGAATCGTTTCTTGACTTGAGTCGGGCATGTCCCTCTACAGGAGGAATAGTCAAACATAGCCCACTGGAGACGATTGTTCTATTACTTTTTGACTGTGTTTGAATATGTTCTGACTGCTTCTTTCCTTCTTCTCGAAAAACCGCCTGTAGGAGGACATGCCCCACCTAGCCCTTGACAGCCCCGCGGCCCGGCGAGGGCCCTCCTCCCTCCTCCCTCCTCCCTCCTCCCTCCTCCCTCCTCCCTCCTCCCTCCTCGGCCGATCACGGCCAGAACTCCTCCGCCCCGACGCCTGCACGGCGCGGGGCACTCCTGGGGAGGGCGACGCCTGCCTCCCGGCGGCCGCCCCCGAGGAGCGGCTGCGAGAGAAAGTTACCAGCCTCGAACGTACCCCTATCCCTAAGATTGACACGCCAAGGATAGGATAGATTGACGCATGAGGGAAACACGCCAGAAGGCGATGACAATCTTAGGGATTCGCCCTCAAAAAATAAAAGGGACTCCCTAAGATTGGCATCGTGATGAGGAGGTGCCCAGCATAGGGATAGGGATATGTTCCAGGCTGGTAAGAAAGGGCCCCCGACGGAGGCGGCGGCCTCTTCGGAGCTCGGCGCGCCGGCGGCCTGCCGGCGCCGGCGGCCTGCCGAGCGGGGCACCACCGGCGTGTGCGGCCCTCGGGAGCGGGGAACCGAGAACGGAGCGGCGTTTTCGTCTGGCCGCGGCGAGCCTCGGCGGCAGCGGCCTCGGCCTCCTCCCCCTCCTCCCCTCCTCCCCTTCCTCCTCCTCCTCCTCCTCCTCCTCCTCCTCCTCCTCCTCCTCCTCCTCCTCCTCCTCCTCCTCCTGGGGACGGGCCGGCCCCAAGACCGGGAGCACCTCCGGAGCCCCCAAGATGAGACGAGCGCGTTCCCCGCTGCTCGCAGAAAGTAGCTGCGTGCAAGTGGCCGCCCGGATCCGCCGCGGGGGGTCTGCTGTTCAATCTCATAGAATCGGGGATGGACAGACCCCCCTTTAGTAAAACGTGGTTTAGTGAAAACGACCTGAGGCCCAAACCTGGCGGGCGCAAGCCTGGAAAATAACGGCCACGGCGCCCTCTCGAGAACCGAAAACGGACAATGCACTAATCGACGTGTCACTGTTGGGGGTTCTGTCCACCCCCGATAGAAGCAAACATATGTTTTTCGGACGTTTGCGAGTAGGCACTTTGCGAGTAGTGGAGCGCGCTCGGTGACAAATGGCCCTTATATCTCAGGGCTTCGGCCGTGAGGGGCCGCTGGCGGCGGGGCGGTTTGGCGAGCCGGGCGATCCTGCCACGGAGGCGGAGGCCGGGGGGGCGAAAGAGGCGGGGGGGAGCAGAGCGCAAGGCCCCCACCGCGAGGCGGGGGCCTCGCCGGGATTGCCGCGGGGGTTGCTGAGAGGACGTCTGTCGGGGGCCGAGAGGGCCCTTAGACAACCCAGAAGCTGCCTGGGATCGCCCAAGAGGCACCGAAGAGACCCGAAGAGGGACCCAACACTGGGAATACGAACTGAGATTCGAACCTTTCACCCCGAGATGGCCCCGAGAGCCCCCGCGAAGACTCCGAGGCGTCCCCCAGAGGCCCCCAGGAGCCCTCCCATCGGGGGCGGGCAAACATGGATTAGCGATCTATGGATTTGGCGCGCGGTCGCCAGATCCATGGATCGGGGGAGGTGCCCTCCCCAGAATGCGGCCAAGGCCGCCTCGCTCGGCGGCGGAGATCCGCGGTTTCCCATGGAAACGGGACCCGTCGCTAATCCACGCCCCGTCAATCCATGTCTGCGATCGCCTGATTCTGGAGGGTGATGGGCGGATGGCAGGGTGGGTAGATCTGACCCAGCCCGGCTTACACAAGCGGGTCGGAAATGCCCTAAGTGGCTCAGCGGGGTTCACGATCCAGACTGAGTTGGGTTCCGCCCACCTCGCGGCGTTGCTCATAAGCCAACCTGGGCCAGAGATCCCCACCTTGGCATCTGCTTAAACTCCATATTTCCCCTCAAGAGCCCCGCGGTCATCCCAGCACCGCGAAGCGGGAACCTCGGGTGGGCCTGGAGGGGCCAGGGGACCGTCGAAAAACTACGCGGGATGAAACGTCGGGAGATGGTCGGGGGGCGTCTGGGGACCCGCACGGAACAGGCCAAGACGTCGGACGCTTGGGGCCAGCGTGGAGCTCTGTGAGAAGGGCGTGCAGCGGAGGCACGCGCGTGTTCTCGGAGGCGAGGCTGGAGCGAGACGTTACTGGCTGCAGCGCGGGAGGGGGTGGGCGGCGGCGGTGCCTCCAGCAGGGACTCCTCGAACGCGGGGGCTCCTGGGGAGACCAAGGACGCACATAGCTCGTCCTCGTCCACGTCCTGCTCTGGACCCTCGTCCCCGTCCGCCTCCTGCTCCTCCTGCTCCTCATCCTCCTGCGCCTCCGTACCACCCTCCTTATACATCCTCCCCCTGCCACCTCCTCCTCCTCCTCCTGCTCACCCTCCTGCTCATACTGCTCGTCCTCCTGCTGCTGCTCCCTCCTCCTCCTCCTCCTCCTGCTCCTCCTCCTGCTCCTCCTCCTCCTCCTCGTCCTCCGCCTCCTGCTCCTCCTCCTCCCTTGCATCTTCTGGACAGTGGCAGATGTTTGCGAATCGATGCCCATACGGGCCGCCGCATGCCGTTCCACAACTTCCCGAAGAGGGCCGGCAGCCCAAAAGGTCGAACACCGCCATCTGGAACACCATGTTGGTGGCCCGCACCTCCCAACACCTGCGGGTTGCTCTCGGAGGCTTGCAAGAGGCTCAAGAAGAGACGGCGATGCTCCTCTGGCAGCTGGATCAGCCACATGGGGTAGAAACCATCCCCACCCCACAGCCCGCGCTGGGAGAATACCTCCTGCACGCTCGGCCGAGATCCTCCAGTGTCCAGGGGGAGAGAGGGCTCCTCGTCCTCCGCCACGCGCCACCGAGCGGGGTGATCGTCGCCCTCGCACTGCCCAGGGACGCACCAGAAGGGGAGCCAATCCCTCGGGAGCATGGCCATGGCATCCGCCAGCAGGTCCTCATGCGCGGCGTCCTCAACGTCGTTGGCGTCGGGACAACAATTGTGGTTGGGCATTGGCCCAATTTTTCCGTAACCATTCCGGGCGTCCAACGTCCGGGCGGACGTGGATGCTGAATGTCTGTGCCGCACATCCCTCTCCCAGAGTACGGCCGGCGGCACGCGCACCAGTCGCAGCCCTCTGCTGTGGCCCGGGCGGCTGCTGCTCTCTCGCTCCTCCGCCCCGTGCGCGTGCACGAGCTGCGCCTCGGCGCCATCGAGCCAGCCGTGGGCAAGGTGCTCAGGGTGGCGATGGCTCGCCTGGTCCTCCTCCGGGTTTCCCAGAGAAGCCTGCTCCAAGGGCTCCAGCTGGGGCACGACAGGAACTTCCACTGGGAGACGCCGACGTTGGACAGCCAGCCTCGACGCACCGTGCACGGCAGGCGCCCTCCAGGACGAGCATCACAGGGCTGTGGAGCCGCATGGGGGCGTCCTTGAGTATCAGGACGCGCTTAAGACAAGGCGCGAGCGTGGAGCACATGTTGATCCTCCTGGCCTGACTCTCTCCTCCCTTGCCCACATCATCGACCCCCTGCATCCCGCTGCCTATCGCCAGCGGTGCACGCGGAATTGCAGTCAGCCCCCTCTGCCCGCGCCTCGCCCTTACCTGGGGCGCACGTCGCCGTGCACCTGAGAGACCCCACCGGTGGCCTCGAGCTACTGGGCACAGAGCGGGAAGTGCAACATGAAGCCCCGAACCGAACTGCCTGGGGCTCATCACTTCTGCCCGAGAAGCCGAACCTGCGGGATCTCCAGACCCGCTGAAGCTGGCGTGCTGAAGGGCCGCCCGTTGCAGCACACCCACAGATGCAACGCCAACCGCGTCGCCAATGTGCATGGTGCTATGTGAGCGTTTTTTTCATTCGGCGTCTCGACATTGGGCGGAACGGGGGGGAGAGGGTGGGGTTCTGGCTCCGGACCTCTGCTGAATGCGACTGCTTGGAACAGGGCGTCCATGATGGGGGAGGCTCCACCTGCTCGAAACAGGCGCCAAAAAACAGCCAAGACCCACTCCAAGGTGGGGGAGGGGGGGTGCGAGGGCCCGCGGCGATCGGAAAACAATGAATAACAAACAATCACTAACCCCCGTGAGGCGCTCGTTGCTTAGGAGCCAGGCCAGCGCGAGCGCGAGAGCGACGAAGATGCGCGGGAGGAGGCCGGCACGGCCGGCGTCGCGAGAGGCGGCTGCACCGCATGCAGGTGCTCCTCCCTCCATCATCCTCCTCATCCTCCTCATCCTCCTCATCCTCCTCGCTACTCTCCTCCCTCCAACCTCGTCCCTCAAACCTCGTCCCCCCAAACCCTCACGATCTCTTTCTCCGCCTCCTCTTTGCCGTCGGTGCCCTCCGCTCACAGCTCTTACAGTTGCTCCTCAACTTCCCCATTGTCCGCCCAACCTGTGCTGTACGCGATTCTCAACATATATCTCTATCTGCCTCTCTTTGCATCTCGCTCTCTCTCTCTCTCTCTCGCTTTCTCTTTCTCTCTCTCTCTCTCTCTCTCTCTTTCTCGTCCTCTCTCTATCTATCTCTCTCTCTTTCTCTCTCTCTCTCTCTCATTATCTCTATTTCTATGTGTGTGTGTGTCTATGTGCCCTGCTTTGCATTCCGCATCGCCCATGCCTCCAATAATCTTCACCCTCCTCCTCTTCCTCCCCCTGCTCCTCATCCTCCTCCTGCTCCTCATCCTTATTCTGCCGACCTCCCTGCGCACTTCCTCTTCCTCCGCGCCCGCGTCCTCATCATCGTCCTTGTCCTGGCCCTCGTCCTAGTCCTCCTCCAGGACGGCGATGGCAGCACGTCGGGACGGAGAGAGGCGGTGAGCGGGCTGTGGCGGCGGGGAAGCAGGAGCGGAGGAGCAAGAAGCGGAGGAGGAGACGAAGACAAAGGCGTAGACACCCGCGGCGCCGAGCGTCGAACGATTGTGCCTGTGCAGCGTTTCGTCTTCGTCGGGATGAGGGGAGTCGGCGATGCATCGCCGATGGATCGGAGACGGGCCCCCGATGGCGAATCCGCACGTGCCTGAGCCGGGTCGAGGCATCCCAACCCCCCTGGGCCGACGCCGCCCCCCCCCGCCCCCCAAGAGTGGCCCCCTGGAGTGGCGAGCGAGTGCGCGTCGGTGCCTCCCCCCTCGGAGCCCATCCCCCTCCACCGTGGCCTCCGGAGTGGCGGGGCGCGAGCGGGGGTCGACGCATCCCCCCCCCCCCCCCGAGGCTCTCCCCCCCCCCCAACGTTGCCCCTCTCGCCGAGTGGGGGGTCGACGCGCCCACCCCGAGCCCATATCCGACGAGCGCGTGCCGCTGCTCCTCGCAGAGGAACTACTCGCAAATGGCCTGGATCCTCCGCGGAGAATCTACAGTCGGGGCGTTGACCTAAGGAACCCTAAACAAGGAACGGGGCCCCTTTTTTCCCATACGTTGAACTTCGATTTCCCATAGAAGTTCTCAGGAAAACCCTAGGCAAACTGTAAAACAATAAAGGAACACCTAGCCCCTCCCCATCGAAAAGGGTTCTTTCTTCAGCGCCCCGACAATACCATAAATTACATCAAAGCGGACATGTGTTTTTTTGACGTTTGCGAGGAGGCACTTCGCGAGTAGTGGAACGCACTCGGCGATAGATCTACCCCCAGACGTTGCCCCTTGAGTGAAGGAGAACCGCGGGGATCGAAGGCAGGCAGGGTGGGCAGGTTCGGGCTTTTGAAACCCCCGACTGTGCACTGCAGCTCCCCGCCCAGCCCCCAGGTCCCATCGTCGACGATGCGCGTTCGATGCTGCGCCGTGGGCAGCTTGGCCCCGAGATTCAGTCGGGCCATTCCTCACACAGGGGGATTTTAGACGAAGCATTTGAAATCGTCAAAACATAACCCAAATTGTTTTTTCCAACCATCCTGTGGTGTTGGGTCCTCGTTTTGAAGAAACGGTGCCCCGCGTCTCATCCTCCTCTCCTCCTCCGCCTCCTCTCCCATCCTATCATCCTCATCATCATCATCATCATCATCATCATCATCATCAGCATCAGCATCATCATCATCATCATCATCATCATCATCGTCATCATCATCATCATCATCATCATCATCATCATCATCATCATCGTCATTGTCATCGTCGTCATCGTCATCGTCATCACCCATTTCGGCACACCCCTCACACGTTTCGTGGCCCCACAGGGAGCTCCACCGAAGGCCCCAATGCTGCCGTCCGCATGCGTCCCGCACACCCATTTCGGCACACCCCTCACACGTTTCGTGGCCCCATAGGGAGCTCCACCGAAGGCCCCATGGCTGCCGTCCGCATGCGTCCCGCACACCCATTTCGGCACACCCCTCACACGTTTCGTGGCCCCACAGGGAGCTCCACCGAAGGCCCCATGGCTGCCGTCCGCATGCGTCCCGCACACCCATTTCGGCACACCCCTCACACGTTTCGTGGCCCACAGGGAGCTCCACCGAAGGCCCCAGTGCTGCCGTCCGCATGCGTCCCGCACACCCATTTCGGCACACCCCTCACACGTTTCGTGGCCCCATAGGGAGCTCCACCGAAGGCCCCACTTGGATGGCCGCGGCGGCTGATAGGTGGTTAGCGCGGATACTAAGGGGTTAGAGGATTTAGTATGTACGTACAAGTGAGTTGTAAGTAGGTTATAAGTGTTGTAAGTCGGATGTAAGTTGTATAACCAGCTACAACTGGTTAGTAGGAGATACTAACCACTTATAGCTGGAGGCTAACCTTGCTAAGTCTCTAGTAGAGGTTAGCTCGCTAAGTCCCCACTCTAGCTACCACTTGCTAACCACTTAGTAACCACTTAGCTGCCACTTAGTAGCCACCCAGTAACCACTTACTAACCACTTAGTAACCACATAGTAAGTCCGCTAGCTAGCTTACTTACTAAGTGGTTAGCGGACTTACTAAGTGGTTAGCGGACTCTGAGAAGGAGAAGGAGGAGGAGGAAGAGGAGGAGGAGGAGGAGGAGGAGGAGGAAGAGGAGGGGGAGAGAGGAGGAGGAGGAGAAGGAGGAGGAGGAGGAGGAGAAGGAGGAGGAGATGTCGAGGAGGAGGAGGAGTAGGAGGAGGACGGGGAGGAGGATGAGGAGGAGGAGGAAAGGGGGAGGCGGCGGCGGAGGCGGCGACGGGCGCGCCTCAGCCCAAGACGGCCGCTCGACGCGGCGGCCCTGCAGGGCCGCCGCGTCGAGCGGCAGCCTGGCGCGGCTGAGCGCGGCGCAGGCGAAGTTCGCC